TCACTTCCGCCTCCAGCACGTCCCGAGGATGCCCCCGGCGCCTCTGCCCCGCGCTGCCTCGGTGTTCGCTCGGGCTCTGCTCTCGCCGGCACCGTCTGTCCCCAGAACTTCTTGCTGCGTAGCAGGAGCTCTGCAAGGACGTCTCCAAAAATCTCCGGCCTTACTTAAGCTTTGGTTTTTCTTTCCCTCTCCGCTCCTGGGGGCAGCCAGGACGGGCGCTGAGGCACTCTCCCCCAGCTGGGATTTCAAGCCAGCAAGTGCCATCTCCCACCCTGGGGCCGGGCCGTGGGCAGCACTTGATCACACGAGGTGTGCTCTGGCTCGCTGCACGGCACCGGTGTCACCTGGCTGCAATCTCCTCTGTCCCCCTCCCCACGCAACCGGGTCATAGTGGGACACATCCCCTCCTTCCCACTCTCTGAGGCACTCTCCCCCAGCTGGGATTTCAAGCCAGCAAGTGCCATCTCCCACCCTGGGGCCGGGCCGTGGGCAGCACTTGATCACACGAGGTGTGCTCTGGCTCGCTGCACGGCACCGGTGTCACCTGGCTGCAATCTCCTCTGTCCCCCTCCCCACGCAACCGGGTCATAGTGGGACACATCCCCTCCTTCCCACTCTACGCTTTTAGGCCTCCACTGCGGCCAGAGCTGGCGAGAGGACACTGGGAGACGGCCCGTGGCCCACCTCGGGCTGTGTGAGAACTCGATTCCCCCGTTTTTCCTCTTGTCACGCTTCCCTCCTCTCCGGCAGCGCCACCATCCCCTCGCTGAAGCATCGCCTGCAGAGGAACGTGGCCGCCATGGCCTGGAAGCCGCTCTGCGCCTCCATCCTCGCCGTCGCCTGCCAGAGCTGTGTCCTGGTGTGGCACCTGGATCCCACCTCCCTCTCCACGAGGTGACAGCCCCCCATTTGGGTTGGCTTTGGGTTCACTCCGGGCAGGTGCCTGTCCCGTCAGGGGACACGGTGCTGGTTTTCGGTGGCACGTGGGCCAGCCCTTCCCGTGATCAGCCGCGGTGTTTTCTCTCTCCGTCCCTCCAGACCTTCGTCCGGCTGCGCTCAGGTTCTGTCCTACCCGGGGCACAGCCCTGTCACCAGCCTGGCGTGGGCCCCCAGCGGGGAGCTGCTGCTCTCGGCGTCGCCGGTCGACACGGCCATGCTGGTAAGAGGCTGTGAACACACCGCGGGGTCACCAAGGGACGGTTTTGGCTGCGGGACTGCTGGGGACAGGTGGCATTTCCTCAGGGGATGGATTAGGCAGCTCCTGAATTTGAACTAGACCTGAAAGCATCAGTCTGTATGCCCCAATCCACACGAATCCACCCCCAAAGCTGCGTTAACTACCCGGTCAGCGTTCGGGTCCCGGTGTCGTTAGCCTCTTCGTCGTCTTCTCCTTCAGGTGTGGGATGTGTCCACCGAAAACTGCGTCCAGCTGCAGTGGTTTGGGGGTGGCGGCGTCACTTACTTGGCATGGTCACCGGACGGCAGCAAGGTCCTGGCAGCCACTCCCTCTGCGGTGTTCAGGTGAGCTCCCTGCCTGCCAGATGTTTTAGTTCAGCCCCTATTATAATTTTCGTTTGCTCCAAAACCAAGTAGATTTGGCTTCTTTGGGTCCTAACTGCTCCTATTCCTCCTGCGTCTGATGTGTCTGACGTCCTGGGCTCCTCCTGGGGCGGATTTTGGGAGTTTGTCCCGCTCACTTCTGCCCGTCTCTCTTGCAGAGTGTGGGAGGCTCAGATGTGGACGTGCGAGCGGTGGCCCACTATCAAAGGACGCTGCCAGGTAGGACGGGAGCGTTTCCCACCCGTGTGGGGCGCGTGTTGCCTCCAAGGCCCTCGGGGGCACGTACGGGGTTTTACTAAAACTCCCCCGGTTCCAGCTGGCTCCAGAAAGTCCCTCGCAAGCTGCCAGCTCCCCGGCCTGGTACTGGGTGTTAACGTGGCTCTGTGTCCCGCAGACGGGGTGCTGGAGCCCTGACGGCAGCCGGCTGCTCTTCACGGTGCTGGGGGAGTCCGTCATCTACTCCTTGTCCTTCTCCGAATACCGGGGTGAGTCTGCCCAAGCCGGCCGCCGAGGCGAAGCTTTCCCAGACCCGGCAGCTGGTCCCTAAGCCGCTCTTCTCGCTTTTGGCTGCGGCTGGGCTTGGCCAGATGGGCTTTTTGTTTGTTAGCTGCGTTTTTCAGCCCACTGGGTGCAAAAGGACAGAGGCAAACCTAGGTCATGCAGGGAGAAGGGTGTCTCGGGGTTCTCCCAAAGCAGAGAGCCCCTTTTCCCCGCCTCACATTCCTTCTTGCTCCCAGTTATGATCACAGTTTGCAGGGAAACTTTTACAGTGGGTTAAATGCCCAGCTTGCGTGGCTTTTTCGCGGATGGCGTTTTTTCTGGGGAAGCAGCTGGTCCTGGTGTTTGTTGAGGGGAAACTTTCTCTGTCCTCCAACCCAGACATAGGCAGGTGCTGCTGGGGTAGCAGCACATAGCTCCACAGCTGCTCTAAGAAACAGAGAGACATTCTGTATCACTTCAGAAATAAAAGCGTGATTTACAGAGTGAGATGATCCATGCAGTAATTCAAGCAGGAGACAAGAAGTGACCAGGCCGTTTGTTGCAGGGGAGATGCAAGGGCAAGTGGGAGGCTCCAAAACAGCTTCCATCGTGGCAGATCTGTCCGAGACCACCTTCGAGACGCTCTATGGGGAGGAGAGGTGGGTCTGGCTGCACCCGTTGCCCTAACGCAAGCCCTGGGAGGTGGAGGGGGTCCGTGCCCCCCTCGGCAGCAGCCCCCCCGGCGCTGGGACGTTGGCTGGAGGGAGGAATCTCACTGCTTGCTCGTGCTGGTTTCAGGATCGGAGGAGAAGTCCACTCCATGGTGTGGGACCCCACCGGTGAGCGGCTCGCGGTGATCATCAGAGGTAAGAGGGAGGTGCTGCCTCCACCCTGCCTGCCCCAGCGCCGGCCTTTGCCTGAAAATCCCGCTCCAGCAAGCAGAAGGGGTGCAAACCCCAGTGGGGTGAGGAGTCGGGGCGGGAAGGCAGCACCCACCCTCCGTCCTTCCTCACCGTGACTCTGCTCCTCCGCATCTGTCGGAGTTCCATCCCCGCTTCCCGTGGGATGAATCCCAACCTCCCTGCGAGGTCTCCGTCTTCCCACCGTGCCCACATGCCGTCTGGAGCACGACTGGGCCTCTTGGCTCCATTTTTCGGAGCACCCCTGGGATAATCGAGCCATTCAGGCTCTCCTGGATGCAGCCGGGACGGGCCTCGCTCCGAGACAAAGCAGACCTTTGAGGGAACACCGAACGCGGTGCCGGGGATGCTGCTGCCTCGGGCTGCCTCCCTGCACGCCACCGGCGGGGCGGGCAGCCGAAGGGGGCCACCACCCCCCCCCAAGGTTGCCCAAAAGGAGCATGAACTGTGGGGGGTATTGATGTGTTGTTGGGGTTTTTTTTTTGGGTTTTGTTTTTTTGCCGTGCTTAAAGCTGGGTGGGGAAGAAGCCAGGGGCGGGGGGGGAACTCAAGAGTACAAGGACTCTCACAGCTGGCACCCCTCTGTCCTCTGCCCCTCCAGGTAGGTCTTATGAGGATCTCTGGGCAGAAACGGCAGTGGGGTGGAAAATAACCTTCACACGGGAGAGACAGGGCCCCCACGTCACGCCTCGCAGGCCGGGGTGTTCCCCAAGGAGTCACTTCATCTCTTGCCCAAACCCTTCTCGGCCAAACTCAGCTACCGGAGACCTCAGGGCCGGCTTTAAGTCACTCAAGGGTCTTTGGAAGCCCCGTCGCGGGATCCTGCTTGCCTCCGTGTGAGGAGGACGCGGTCCGCAGCCAGCGTTTCCTCACCTCGGTGTCTCTCTGCCCCGGTCTCCGCAGTGCCCAGCTGCCTACAGCCGCTTCCCCCAAAAACCTGACCTCCGTGTCACCGGTCCGGCATCGAGGGGCCTGTGTGCCCGCGCAGTCCCTCGGACGAGGGAAAGCCTCACTGCTCCTTCTCTCTCCCTCCTCCAGGGCATGCCGACGCTCCCGGGAGCCAGACGGTCATCGCTGTGTTTCGCACCCGCAACAGCCCTGTGTTTGAGCTCCTGCCGTGGTGCGTAGCGGCGGGGG